CCGGTTCCGCAAAAAAAAAAAAAAAAAAAAGAAACAGAAGAATTTGTTCAGACAAACATCCTTTAAGCCAATTTCTAATTCAAACACCAATGTATCAGTAGCGGCAGCCCTGCTCTGAGCTACGAGTCAGTTCACAGGGACAGATGCACAGGGAACAGCTGCTCAGGGTGTGGCCGAAGGTGAAGGTGCTCCAGGCTTCACAGCAATCCCCAAGCAACAAAGTACAAATAACCCTACTAGGATTCTAGGCTTTCCCCATTCCTAACCACAAGATTAAATGGTAAGTTCTAGTTGCAACAAATGACAGCACTTTCTCAGAGGCATAAGCCGTAATTCCACAACAAAGACAGAAAACGAAAACGTACAATAATTGCACTTACGATGTAGGAAGCAGTCATACTTAAAACATCGCCGACAGAAAAGTGTATGAAATGAATGTAAGCTCTGCTCCCTCTGCACAGACTTAGCGTTTGGTCCGTCTATGTTGGGGGTACATTCAGGAGGAAGTGCACCTGGGAGCTGCTGCTCGGTGAGTTCTTTGTATCTGACATCAACCAAGAAAAGTGTAAGTAAGCCTGAAACCAAAGGTTTGCTTTTTAAAAGAAATGAAGTATCTGAAAAGATTCCATGTTAATGTTTTATTTACCTTGCTTATAACACAAAAGTATCTAACCTACAACAATCTTTAACATTATGTGTGGTGTATTAAAATCAAATTCACTGATATGAAAAGACATGACTACATTGGTTTTGACTCAACACCAACTGCACTGAAACGGCAACCAGGACTCAGAGTAATTTTCCCATAATGCACAACTACAAATCTGTGTGTATGTGCGTGTGTGTGTGTGGGGGGGGGTGCGCGCGCACGTGTGTGTAATGTATACACGTACTTCTCTCCAGTAAATGCTTCGCAGTGCAGAGTGTTGCGCAGGAATGGGTACTGCCTGAAGTACCCTGTGTGTGCCATAAACAAGGGAGAGTGGCTCATCGGACATAACGGGTCCACTTGGAATGAGCCAGAACAATGACTTACAGACCACACAAGACAAGACATCTCACAAGAACAAATCTTACTTTTCCTTTAGCTCTTCTGCTGTGCCCTTATCTGGAAACATTGAGGAAATGGCTTCAAAAATTTTATCAGAAGGAAATTTCCGAGGTGGGCAGCTTTCTTTATCTAAAAAGGTAAATATGAAAGGGGGGGGAAGCATGGAAAAAAGTTTTCAGCCTTTGTCTCCCCACAATAGTGCCTCACTACAAAGAAAAGGAACCCCTAACTTGATGGCCCATGTGCTTCTAAGGCATTTTACACTAGTGCACAGCGCATCCGTGGGTCAGACACACACTCAGGCACGCAGCGCTATCAGGGCACGGGAAGCAGGCCTTGGGACCTACGCTAGCCCGGGCCCTTGCTAGCTGGCCATGTGCCGCCTAGTCCCTGAGCCACTGGGTTCTACTTCCTAACCTAGTAGCCTGTCATAAAAATGTCAGGCTTCTTTGAGGCCGCAGGTGGCCCCCAAACAATTCCGTGCTGCCTCAACACGACTCTTGGCCACTGGAGACCCCAGTGCTGCGCTGTTTTCTGGGGAGCCACAACTAGAGCAGGGTAACGGCGTGCCACGGAGCCAGGCCTGCGCTGACCCACAGGCTCAGGGTCCCAGGTTGGCTGCTTTCCCACAGGGGAGTCACAGATCGGCGGCTTGGCCTCTGCAAACCCAGTCCTAAACATACACTGGCCTGGTGATGTGCGTGTGCGGTGCCATGACGAAGATTAAGTTAACTGCTGCATACATTATTAAAACAATGATTATGACGATGGCCCAGTTAAGTCCCAACACTACACTCTTTCGCTAGAAAAAGAAACCAAAGGGCCAGCCAAATAGCTCAGCAGATGAAAGCACCTGCAAGCAGGTGAAGAGGCCAGGGGTTCGATCCCCAGGCCTGCTGGGCCAGCCCCACCCCTGGGGGCACGTTGAGACAGCAAGTGAGACTGGGCGTGGTGGCGCATGCCTGTAATCCCAGCTCTTGGGAAGCTGTAAACAAGCGGATTACTACGAGTCTGAACTAGTAGTGAGACCTTGAACACCCTGTAGACCCTTCCCGAAAAAAGAAAAAAAGAAACCAAGATGCTCCAGTGGAGGATGGAAGACTACAAATAATATCCTGATTTTGATCATGCTGCCATTCAATGTGGTGGTACAAAGAGGAACTATTTCCACCATCTTTTTGAAAGAATGCTGCAATGGCCACATAGAGACCTGGCCCCCAGACCTACCGTCCCGGCGATGCTCCAGCTCCTTCTGCTTTTCTTCTCCGTCCTCGGGGTCATCCCCATCATCCTCATCACCATCATCATTGTACTGACCCAGAGCATTCACCAACTCCACAAAAATTTCATCGTTTATAAACCCACACTCTGAAGAAAAAGTCAGCAAGCCAGTGTTACAGCCACGCAGAGGAAGGTGGCAATGACCGAAGGTTACTAGTGTCTCTTTGACTTCAGAAGAAAGAGCCCAGCCTAGCAGCTAGAACTGCAGGGCACTGCATGGCACTGGACAGCACTAGAACTGGGCTCGCTCTCAGGGCTGGTCCTCAGCGAGGTCAGGAAGCAGGCGCCTTACCGCCCAGAGTGCCAGGAACCAGCCAGTCCTTCAGGAACTAACTATAGCTCTGGCCTCCTCAGAAACAGCCACATCTCTGGGGCCACTCTCTTGAGATCTGGCTTCCAGAGTGAACATGGACCTGGAGGACCAGGACCCCAAAAACAGCCTCCCTAGGGGAGCAGCCAAGGACGGAGCGTCAGGGACTTCGGCAGCCAATCAGCAAAGGCGCCTCTGCCAAACTGCCGCCTTCAGGGCCCTAATCCTAATTCATTTCACTACTAGTGAATCTTAACACCTACACCCTCAGCTTCTATGGAACTTATCACATAGCCAACTATGCACAATGACCAAGCGATAAACAAGAGCCTCCTACTTAAACAGGGCAAACGCTGCAAACTTTAGCCTTATGAACCCAGACTGGTGCTCTATTGTCTTCATAAAATAGTTTATTCTCATAAACAGGTTCTGATAGCCTGCGCTAATAAAGCACAGTGTGTCAGTTCTTTAGACTTTTCCTTAAGAGAATAAACACTGCTCACCTCGATCTCCATGGACTTTGCCATCGTAGTTTTTTATTAGCTCCTCAATGAAAGTGCCGTCCTGGTCTAGAACTTCATCCCCCATGTAAGGAATGTTATGCAAAACAGTTTCATCTTCTACCTAAAAGTCAAAACATACACACATGTACATACAGATTTTAAGCCCATTTTTCCTAAGAATTAAAATATTCTTAATAGTTGAATGTGACATAACTAAAATTGATGTTTTTTTCTCATTGAGTAGAGGGCCTTTGCGCAGTGCACCGGACTTAAAATTCTACTCAGACAGCAAATTATTTCCACTGGCAAAAGTAAGAATGTTTAACACATTGCCAATTCTACCTGCAAGGAAGGAAAAATGTACAACTACAGTGTGCTGCTCCCAACAGGCACCACTTTAGGGCACATCCCCCTGGCAGCCCAGCACCCCAGGAGGCTGAAGCAGGAAGATCACAAGCCCAAGTGCAGCCTAGACAACCTCAGCAAGATGCTGTCTTATAATAAAAGAATGAGGGTGTAACTCAGTGTGTAGACTCTTGGGTTTAATCTCCAGTGCTGAGACACCCAGAACCACAAGTATCCATTTCTAAACTTCACTTAAAGTCTAGTTGAGTGTAATACGATTTTAAGGATATAAATAAAAAAGAAATCAATGTTCCAGTGACATTTATCCCAAAAGGGCTTCCACAACTATAAAAGACATCCTACAAAACAGAAAACACCTTACTGCTGCGATGGATGAGACAAATCCCAAAGCTACTGTGTGCTAAGAGAGTTGACTGAAGAGCCTACAGTGAGGATTAGAAGACGAAAGAAAGGGTGCTGATCTACAGGAAGAGCCAAGAGAAGTAGGGGTTAGAGAGAGTGGAGAGCTGAGGAGCACACACACAAGCTGACATTCACAAGAGGAGAGTTTTCAATAAAGAATAAATAAAAGGGGCCATAGTTGTGGACACAGAATGAACAGTTCTGGAGGCTGTGTGTACAGAGATGTCACTGAAAGCAGGGACCGCTCTCAGAGTAAGAGCCCCACGAGCAGTGAGGTACTGGTTACAGTGGTTGTGGGATGATAGAACAAGCTGGCTGAGACGGACTAGAAGGCACTGGCCATTTCAAGCAGGGGATGGCACAGGCTGTGACCACAGCCAACAAGGAAGAGCACACTGGCCAAGACCATGACACACACTAGCAAAGAATAGAGGAGACAGGAAATCCCAGATAACATGGTCTGGACACCTGGAACATTCATAAAAATAACAGGATGTACAAACAAGGAATAAGAAAACTTGGACCGAGGGAGAGAGAAGAGAACAGAATACAAGCTGAGCCAGGGGTGGTGGAGCACATCTGTAACCCCAGCACTCGGGAGGCTGGGGCAGGAGGATCGCCATGAATTAGAAGCCAGCTTGGGCTATACAGTGAGCCAAGGACAACCTGAACTGCAGAGATCCTGTCTCCAAAACAAACAATAGGAGCTGGGGAGATGGCTCGGTGGAATAAGCACTTCCCTGGCAAGCGCAAGGGCCTGAGTTCAATCCCTGGTTCTGCCAAAAACAAAAAACAAAAAACAACAACTACAACAAAAAACCAGTAAGGGCACGGTGTGGTCTTACTGCAATCCTCTAGCAGGCCCAGCATGTGTGCACACTAGAGCTCTCCTCGCATCTCACTTGCACAGGCCCTTCTGAGGAAACGGGAGGCCTCCTTACCAATGGCACTTGGCTCTTCTGTCTCCCCACTGTTCCCAGCCTAACCCTCACTCCCCGAAGTATCAGCAAACAATAGCCCTCCTCATTCGCTGTGAGCAGAAACCAGAAAAACCTGGGACCAAGTCATAAGCATTATTCACTTTAACTTTAAAAATCATATTCTAGCGGACAGGGAGATGGCTCAGTGAAATAAGTGCTTCCCTGGCAAGCACAAGGGCCTGAGTTCAATCC